GAGACGTTGCCGAGGAAAAGAGTGTTGCTGGGAGGGCTGCGCTTGTCACCGTACTTGTTGGCACGGGCACCGTTGGCATCGGGCTTAGCACGGGGAGTGCTGAAGTCGACGTTGAGCTGACGACCGTCAAGCTCGTACTCGTGCATCTCCTTCTGGGCCTTCGCGGCATCAGCAGCGTTGGCGAACTCGACGTAACCGAAACCCTTAGCACGGCCAGTCTCACGGTCAGTGATGACACGGCAGCCAACGATCTCACCGAAGCCCTCGAACTCGCGGCGGAGCCAGTCCTCATCGATGTTCCAGCTCATGTTACCAACGAAGAGGTTCTTGACACCCTCCTCAGCGGCGGGCTCTTCAGTCTTGGTCTTCTTGATAGCGGGGGCAGCTGCCTCCTCAGCCTTGCGCTTCTTGGAGGGAGCCTCCTCGCTCTCGGAAGCAGAAGAGTCGTCGGAGTCGGCGTCAGAGGAGTCGTCAGAGTCGGAGGTGGAGGTGGCCTATCAAAGTTAGTCTACGTCGTGTGATGGTCAAGTGATAAACTGACCTCAGCCTTAGCGGCGGGCTTCTCGTCCTCAGACTCGCTGCTGTCGGAGTCGCTGTCAGAGTCGCTGGACTCAGCCTTGGCCGCGGCCTTCTTTACAGCCTTGGGGGCAGGCTTCTCCTCCTCGCTGCTGTCGCTGTCGCTGTCCTCATCGCTGCTGTCGGACGAGTCAGAATCGGAGTCGGCCTTAGCAGCGGCCTTAGGAGCAGCCTTGGCAGGAGTCTTCTTCTCGACGACCTCCTCCTCGCTGCTGCTCTCAGAGGATTCTTCGCTCTCGCTCTCGCTCTCAGACGAAGAATCAGACTCAGGCTCTGGGGTAGGAGCCTTCTTCGACTTCTTCTTGTCCTTGATGTTGGAAGCAACTGACTTGGCAATGTCCTTGCTCTTCGACTTGGGAGTAGCAGCGGGCTTGGTAACGCGGCCGGCCTTGACGGCGGCGACCTCGGACTTCTTGTCCTTCTTGGACGACTTGTCCGCAACCTTGGTCTTGCCCATTTTGATGATAGGTAACTAGATCTACAACGTATTAGTATTGTGAAACATGCGACGAAAGCGCCAATGATGTGCGGTAGAAAAAGGAAAGAGAGGAGTCGACGGCAATGACGCCGTCGCTCGGGCGCTGACACCCAAAGGTTATCATATGCGCCAGCCTGCTTGGTCTGATTGTCTCAAATTGCGAAAAGCCCACTGGTATCTCTCGAGACCGCACGAAGCGGATATCCCTCAAGCCCACGGAAAGCCCACAAGAGCCCACAGAAAACCGAGCCTCAAGGCAGCGCGTTCCCGCAAAAGCCGAGAAGCCGGAAGATTAACCCTCATAGTAGCAAAAAGCCCTCAGGATGATCTTGTCGTGCCCTGGCGAGCGACAGACGTGCCCTCTGTAATGTGTGTTAAGGAAAAGCCAAACGTTGCCCACTGACTTGTATATTGATCTGGTACTGGATGTTGCCCTCAGTAGCCCACTTGAGAATCGCGAAAGCCCTCAGTGTATGTTTCGAACGGTAAATGTTCGAAAAGAAATGTGAAGAAGGTTGATGGTAGGTGGTGGTTAGCAAATGGCTGGGAGCGCGCAGTTTATGTAGCAGAAGGATCAGCATCGAACTTTTCAGCGGATCCGGGGTCCGAGCGTTGCGCTAGAGACGCGCTCTCAGAGGTACGCTACAGTCGCCCCACTCCTAACCCATCCAACGGCGACGGCGACGGCGGTATACCCTTGAGGTAACGACTTAAGGGTCTTTGGATGCCTGTTTTTCATTGAGAATGTGGACAAGTCACGGTAAGCCCTCGGTGATAATACTAGGAATTTCGTGGCTGGCAGAATCCATTACCTGATTTGATCTTTCAAACCAGGTAAAATCTTCTATCCACAATTTCACATTAAGAGTACCCAATAGTCTAAACAGGCAGCGGATACAACAAATCTTAGAGAGTATGTGTACCGAGGCTGTCTACTGGGTTGTCGGGGTCGCACTCAAAGCAGCTTTGTCACGCTTCGGTGTATGCATCTTGTTGGAGCGACACCTAGACCATGTCGACCCGATTGAGACGTGATGTGCATACAGGTAGTTCAATGGGATCAACAGAACCTGAATGGCAAGTTCAGAAAGACACTTTCCAAGCAGAAGTTCAATGGTATGCCGGTCTATTGTCGGACGATAGCTGGGGATAGAACTCTTCGCAGCAGGGCTCAAAATGCAGGGCAGCGGCTAGCTCGGATGCGGTAACGCGTAAATCGATCCGCCACGTTCCTCGAATCCGTCCAGACCCTCTCCAAGCTCACTTGGGTAGCTCCAACATGGCATCTCCAGCAGCTCACAAGCCGCGACGGCGGCGAAAGATTGAAGAAGGCTCTCTCGCCCAGGTCGCTCACGGTACACTCGATCTCGACCAGTCTACTAATGCACGGAAGCCCGCATTCCCTCTCGTCGCGTTCCTCTGGCCAGCGAAAGGCACCGTCTCGCAATGGATCACGATACCCCTCATTCTGATGGTAGTTGGCCTATTCAGATGGACTGTCAGCTTGTGGGGCTACTCTGGATACCAATCACCGCCAATGCACGGTGATTTTGAAGCTCAGCGACATTGGATGGAGATTACAAAACATCTACCCGTGTCGAAATGGTACTTTTACGACTTGCAATGGTGGGGGTTGGATTACCCACCTCTCACGGCATATCACAGCTGGATCTTGGGTGTCATGTATGTGGAAACATTGTACGTTGAATGCAAGTACTGATCATTGTAGTGGCTCTGCTATCAATCCGAAATGGTTCGCTCTCGACGAGTCGCGAGCTCTCGATGACCCCTCCCTCAAGATATACATGCGAGCCACTGTCTTCGTATCCGAATACCTCATCTGCGTTCCCGCGATAGTTATCTTCCTCCGCCGATATTCGCGACTAGAAGGGGTCAATATCTGGGAGTCGTCAATTGCGCTGGTGGCTATCCTGATGCAACCGGGCACCATATTGATCGACCACGGGCACTTCCAATACAATACCGTCATGCTTGGCTTTGCAGTTGCAACACTTTCGAGCATGATCGCTGGAAGACCACTGTGGGGGTGCGTCTTCTTCGTTGGCGCGCTTGGTTTCAAACAGATGGCCTTGTTCTATGCGCCTGCGGTGTTCGCATACCTGCTGGGCATCTGCCTTTTCCCCAGGATCAACATCGTGCGGTTCCTCGCAATTGCGCTAACAACTGTGGCTGCGTTCGCTGTGCTGTACCTCCCATTCCTTATGGGTGTCGCATACGATGTCTATACTGGCTTCAACCACGCTCCCCTCGAATTGCCACCACTTCTGAACCTGAGATGGTTCATGACACCATGGGATATGAATGCATGGTACTTTCCCTATGTTCTGGAGATGGGGCAGTCGATTCATCGCATATTCCCCTTCTCTCGGGGACTGTTCGAAGACAAAGTTGCGAACATCTGGTGCACGATCCACACGTTCCATAAGCTCAACCGGTACCCGATTGAATTACTTCAGCGACTCGCGCTACTTGCCACCTCCGCTGCTATCCTGCCGCCGTGCATAATCATCTTTATCAAGCCCAAGAAGCAGCTCCTTCCACTCACTTTCGCAGCCGTCTCCTGGGGATTCTTTCTCTGCTCATACCAGGTACACGAGAAGAATGTGTTGCTTCCGTTGTTGCCAATGACACTACTTCTTAGCGGAAAAGACGGCTTGCTACCCTCCACTCGCGCGTGGGTCGGTCTTGCGAACATGCTCGGCGTTTGGACCATGTTCCCGTTGCTCAAGAGAGATGATTTGCGAGTCCCATACTTTGTCATCTCACTCTTGTGGGCCTATCTTCTTGGTCTTCCACCAGTCTCTTTCTCCACCTTCCAGGGAGACAGCCGAAGTGGGCTGAGCATTTTCAGCAAGATCCTTCACCTCAATGTCTATGTGGCCATGGTTGCATGGCACATTGCAGAGGCATTCTATCCTCCACCAACTGACAAACCGGATCTCTGGGTTGTGGCGAATGCGATTGTTGGAACAGGCGGCTTCGGCCTTTGCTATCTCTGGTGCTTGTGGCGACTTGTAATCAAGAGTGAGTTGTTTGGAGGAGTAAAAGACAAGACGTAGTAAAGTTTGGTAGTTGGCAATTATTCGTTGTCGCACTTCAGCACTTCTTCAAGATACCCAGGTAGATTTTAGAGGGAAGATTCTGGTTCCCCATTCCTCAAATATTGTACAGCGAATACAGAAAAGCCTCTAGTGCGCAACGCCACCCATATGCATTTGTGTTGTACATGTCGTATACACTAACGTTGCCCAATGTGTTATATCTTGAAGCCGTATCCAGCCATACATCTCTTGTAATCGTCGACTAGAGTGAAGCACTCTTTTTGGGGGTCGTTCGATGTGGAGAAGAGCATGCATTCGTCGCGCTTGGCCTTTTGATCGGTGCAGACACCTAAAATTTGGCGCATGAAGTCAGCACATGTCTCGCATACACTTCATATGGGGGCGTCACTCACAGCATGGCTTGACTTTCGCCGGCGCAGCGGTGTCCTTGAGGTCTGAGCCCATATTGGCGGCGGTTGGTGGTGCTACAATCCCATCAATTAGCCCTTCTGCGTCGCATGAATATCATCGTCTAGCCCAGAAGCTTACCTGAAGACATGCTGGCTGTATGTGTGGTGGTGGTGAATTGAAGGTGATTAGCAATCCATCGCAAAAGTCGCCGAGCATGTCATCGGCTCAACAGCCACTGATCTTGCCGCACACTCCCGCGGCATACGCCACAGGCATGTGGCATGTGGCTGAGACTAACCCTGCAGGCGACAGGGGTCTAGACAATGAACCAAACCCCACTACGACGCCAAAACAATTGCGACCCACGAGTCACACGCACTATAAACGAGTCCTTTCGCCCCCCCTGTTGCTATCTTGTTGTTTACACTTGAGACTATTACTAGTACTACTTGCAAAAAGGGCCTGTGAAGAACATGGCTGGAGCAAAGATCTTCTCGATTGAGGGCAAGGGCCTGAAACTCACCACCGCGGAGGATATTGAGCCACACATCCAGGACCTGAAGAGCAACAACGATGTAGAGGAGATCAAGTTCTTGGGCAACACATTGGGCATCGGAGCCAGCGAGGCTCTTGCTAAGGTCTTGGAGGGCAAGAAGAGTCTACAGGTAATATTTACAACCCCGCTTGACCGCGATGCGATGTCAAAAAAGGGACTGACCCAATCTCTAGGTCGCAAACCTCGCCGACATCTTCACCTCGCGTCTCCTCTCTGAGATCCCACCTGCGCTATCGCACCTCCTCACCTCCCTCCTTACCCTGCCAAACCTCCACACCGTCGATCTTTCGGACAACGCGTTTGGCCTCAACACCGTTGCCCCGCTCGTAGACTTCCTGTCGCAACACACCCCACTACGCTACCTCTACCTAAACAACAACGGTCTCGGACCCGCAGCCGGTGTCCTCGTCGCCGATGCACTCACCGCACTCGCCGCCAAAAAGGAGGCAGCACGGAAGGATGGCAAAGAAGTCCCAGACCTCGAGCTAGTAATCTGCGGTCGCAACCGTCTGGAGAACGGCAGCATGGCCGCATGGGCAAAAGCATATGCCGCCAACAGTGGCGTCAAGACCATCAAGATGACACAGAACGGCATTCGTCAGGAGGGTATCTCACACCTCATTACCAACGGTCTCGCACACCTGTCTAAACTAGACACGCTCGATCTCCAAGACAACACATTCACAGCCATGGGCGCAAATGCCCTGAGCAAAGCCGTCGGAAACTGGACCGAGCTCCGTGAGCTTGGCGTAGGCGACTGTCTCCTCAGCGGACGCGGAGGCGTTGCGCTCGCCGCCGCGCTGGAGAAGGGCAAGAACAAGAAGGTTGAAGTCCTCCGCCTCCAATTCAACGATATCAACGCCAAGGGTCTTGCTGGCCTGGCCTCTGCCTCTTCGTCTGCCCTCCCTGCTCTCCGTCGTGTGGAAATAAATGGCAACAAGTTCGACGAGGAGGACCCTAGTATCGAGAAGCTCCGCAGTGTGCTCGATGAGCGGAAAGAGGCGTCTGGTGAACACGAGGACGATGAGGAGTACTGGGGTCTGGACGAGCTAGATGAGTTGGAGAGCGAAGACGAAGATGAAGAGGAGAGTGACGCGGAGGAGAAGCGCGGCGATGCTGATGACGACGAGGAGGGTGTCGAGGTCGAGGAGAAGGCTGCGAGACAGATTGTTGAAGATACCAAGGCCGAGGAGAGCAATGTGCCACAGGAGAAGGATAAGAAGGTTGATGATTTAGCGGACCTCATGTCCAAGACGGAAATTAAGTGAGTGGGTTGCATTGGGCGTAAGGATAGTGTTCAGAAACCGAGGAGGCCTTGTCATGCATTTAGCGGCTTGGAATGGTCGGTGAAGGTTTCTTTGAGTAGGTTCGTAAGAATTGATACCATGGATGTTTCTTCATGTTTGCTTCACGTTTGCACAGTAGGAAATGAAACCTGGATACGAGTTTCTGTAAGGAAGAAGGCAGATACGGTTCATTTAGGTGCCCTACAGACGGCTCAATTATGTATACAGGTTCGTATGCCATTTGACAATATCTCGTTAGAGTTCATCTCTAATACCCCTTGTCTCTCCAGCTTCCCAGGTATATTACCGGAATTCGTGGTCACTCCTACCAAGCCACTCAGTTGGTGTAGCCGCAACGGGGACAGATCTCGCCGTCTTCTAGCTGAAGGTCATCGCTCTCATTGACACAGTCATGGCCCGTGTTTACGAGATGCTTCTTGTAGGCTTCACTTTTGCTGTTGTCCAACTCCTCATCACCCTCTTGGAGATCCTTGTCGAGTTGGGAATGTTCTTTGCGGTGCTCCGTCCCAGAAGAGTTGGAAACGTTACCGAGAGACTCTTGTGCTCTACGCGAGATGAATGACTGCGCAGTGGCACTAAGACTGCGAGTCCCAATGTGGCCAAGAGAGCGCGTGTCGCGGGAGTGAAGAGTGTCGGTATCAGTATGGCTAACGGTGCCCTTCTCTGTCTTGGGCCTGATAAACGCCTCCGTGTCGCATCGGTTCTCATCCTTGGTATGGCGAAATTGCTCTCCAGGTGAGGTAATGCTCTTGCTATTGGCACGAGAACGTCTGCTGCTGGCGACCGATCCACGCATTGCTGAAGTGTCGCTCTTTGCAGTGCCGCCGTTAGCACGAACTTCGAGAGTGTGTGGTTTGTCGGTCCCTGATTTGGTTGCAATTTCTGCCTCGGTCTTGGGCCTGATAGCCATATCTGCATGGTGAAACTCGTTCAACCTCTCTTGACAGAATTGCTGCTGAGGCGATGTGAAGTTCCTGCTGTTGGCACGGGATCGCCCATAGATGGGACTCGAAACGGATCCAGAACAGCTGCTCAGTGACAGTTGACGCTCACGTTTAGCTACGACAGACTGAGCTGCAGCGGCGATACCCCCTTTCTCGGTATGACCATGGGCACGAGCTTCGAGGGAATGGAGACGGTCAGCCTCAGTCTTGTTGACAGTGCCTTGCGCGATTTTGTGTTCGATCTTAGCGATTTCCTCCTGGAGCTCAGCCTCGACTTCGGGGTGGGGGGCGTTGGTATGACCGACGGCCTTTTGTAGTTCTGTGGCGTTGTCAGTGTATGTCTCAACATTCAGCTCAAGGCCAGCTGGGTGGGGTGTGTAGTAGGCTTATGAACTTACTACTAACAATGCTCTGAGCAACACGAAGTATCTCGGTAGTTGCTTCCTCAGAGCTGCCGTCCACAGCGGCATGCAGGTCCTTGGCGGCCATCAGCAGGGAACGATGAGGAGCCTGATCGTGACTGGGTCCCTGATATTGCACACCTTGTTAGCAATAGCTAGGGATTCGACGGCAGAGATAATGCGGACCGCTCTGTCGTCAGGCTTAGCGACGTTCTCAGTCAGAATGCGAGCCTCTTCCGCCGTGATGCTGCCTCGATCGGTCTTCAGCTTCTTCAGAACAGACTCCAGTTGGTCCTGAAATCGCTGGGACGATGTGGTGGCATCGCTGCTAACGTCCGAAGTCGTCTTCTCACTGAGAATGTCGCTCATGATGGCTGATAGAGGTGAGGTTGTAGGTGATGCTTGAGTGAAAGAAGTGGTGAGTTGGAAGTGTAGAGAGGAGAAGTGAGGTAGTAGTGTCCTATATTGGCCGTGACGCCGCTGTATGGAAGCAAAGTGCAGGAGCAAACGGTGAGATCAGACGATACTGGCAGCAGACCTTTCCTGAACCAGGTGAATACCCAAGGCATATCCCAGATTCAACGGAACATTTCCCCGAAGATGAAGTAGACACCGCTTACGAGTTCGCGTATTCTGCGATTTACTCTTTCCATAAGTACCACAGACAGCTACCGTGACAACGCAAGTGAGTGATGACATTATAACGTTCGAGGTAGGAAAGGCCAAACATAAGGAGCAAAACAGTTGTTAACTTTCGGTTGAAATTGTGAGAGATTTACAACATGATGCAGCGCCCTATCAAGCTCGACATGTCTTTGCTCAAGAGGTGATGAACAAACCTCGCAAAAACATCTTGACCACACAATAAGTGAAGACTGTAAAGGAAGAATGATTATACATACATACATCACTTCTACAAATCGTTGCCGTTGATATTCGCCTCCTTCTTCACCACCAGGGCCCACATCATTGTCCATACCATCCTCCAAATCACCCTACTTACCACGCTTCCGCTCGGCTGCTTCATCATTGTCACCTAAATCGCTTGCTATACCCAACTCCTCATATACACCATCCATGTTCTTCTCTTTCAGGTACGCATCAAATGCATCATCTTCAGCTGCAAAGCTAGATCCTGCCACCAACCCGTCTTCTAGGGAGAGATTGGGGATTTAGACATCGCTCTGGCTACGATCGCGGACGGGTCATGAATCGTACTCATAGACAGAATCCTCTTTAGAATCGAAATGGAAATCGGCATCGTCCTGCGAAAGTGATCGGTTCTTCCCTTCATCGTCATCGGATATGTCTTCTTGATCGATGTGTTGCGGTACTGGTTCGACGATGTTGAGACTATGCGCCTCGATCACGCTACATTTGTTGATGTCTTTGAACTTCGGATCTTCCTACTGCAATGCAACATGTTGATGTGCTAATAGTTGGGAGACGTATTGATAAGGATTGATTAGTTTGGGAGGTTGAGGATAAAAGCAAGCAAGGGATCCGAACGAATGCGATGACGGAAGCGGCCCTGAGTAGCCGTGGAAGGGTAATATGCCAACTGATGTGCACAAGTCTAACCTACTTCATAAACTCGGCTTGTTGGTTCGTTGATTCAGATAGCTGCATAGTAAAACGAGTTTGAAGCAAGCAGAAGGTTGGTTTGACAATAGTGTCCGCTGCAGTATAGCCGTTGGTAAAAGGTCTTGGTGTTTGTCCGCTGCGCGATGACGCGGCCGCTGCCGAAAAGCCGAAAAGCCAGGATGAATGGGTCACTAGCCCCACCAAAATCCCGCCGTCAAGCCTCAACACCCACCTCTACTGTGTACCTGCTCCGATGTCCTGCGCCACATATAGGTTTACTCCGCCAGAATGGTCAGCGCCCAAGATGTCGCGGGTCGCAAGTCGGACACGGGTACGGATGAGCAAAAGCAAGCCGCGCAGATGATCCAGCGCAACTATCGCGGCTATCGAGAGCGTAGGCAGCTTCAAGGCATGGGCCTAGATGCTAGCGCACGATGGGCAGAGGTCCGAGACGTTTGCCATACATCAGAAGACATGCAACTAATGGTACCAGGCTATACGCGATGGTCAGCAGTCTACCCCGATATCTACTGCGCCTAAGCTAAACCTCTAAAGCGAAATGGCGTAATGCGACGAGACCCAAGCCGCGCGCGGAAGAAGCGGCTTTGCGCGAGAGCCTCACCACACCCGAGGAACGTTCACGAGCCAACTCGACGGCAGCGCGCGAGAAGTGGAAGCGTGTGGGCGAGATCGCGCGGCGAGCAGGAGCCGACGATCCCTACGATGTCTCGCCCACGGATGACGAGGATGCGCCCGAGAACCACACTGAACAGCGGCGGAAGCAGAACGAGTCAAAGGCCGAGCGTGAGAAGACAGCCAAGATGATGGATCTCCAGTACTTCTTGGAAATGGTTGACCAGAAGCATCGCTATGGTAGTAATCTAAGGGCTTACCACGACCAGTGGAAGAGAGCAGACACGCATGAGAACTTCTTCTACTGGCTAGACAATGGCGAAGGCAGACACTTCGAGCATCCAACTGTCTCCAGAGAGAGGTTGGACACAGAGAGGGTGCGCTATCTATCGCGAGAGGAACGCCAAAATTACCTGGTTACCATCGACGACGAAGGACGGTTGTGCTGGGCGAAGAACGGCGAACGGCTCAACACATCTATGGATTACAAAGATAGTGTCAACGGTATTGTACCAGCCGACGACGATACCCCCGCCTATGGTCCGAAGGCCAAACTCCACTCCGGACAAAGTAAGACCCTACGACGAAGTTCGATGATTTCGGTGAGCTCAAGCTCGTCAATCTCGGAGAGCGATGCGGAGGCAGAACACTATGTCAATGAGGATCTCGACAAGGCTAAGGGCATCTCGAAACTCAAACATGTGTCAGCCGCGACTATTCTAAATCACCTACTGCGAAGTTCGGTAAAACCAAACTCGTGGATCTTTGTAAGATGTGCTGCGCTCCTTGCTCCAGCCAGACGTACTAATCTAGCATAGGTAGCCGATACGTCTTTCCGCCTGTACGTGGGAATCAAGCAATCGGGTGCCTTCCAGCACAGCTCTTTTCTACATGGGGCCCGCATTTCTGCCGCGGGTTTGATCAAAGTCAAGGATGGCCAGCTAAGGCGCCTCTCACCCCTGTCTGGCCACTACAGACCTCCTACGAAGAACTTTCGTGCATTCGTGCATTCGATGAAGGAGAATGGAGTAGACATGTCCCGCGTCTCCATATCCCGATCGTATGCCGTACTCGTCGGTCTCGAAGCTTATGTCAAGACACGCAAAAAGTTCAAGCATGGAGTTGAGCACGTCAAGGAGGCAGAGACGAAGGTTGTACACCCAGAAGAATATGAACGTAAAATCGAAGAGCAGAAGGACAAGAGCGAAAGCGCACAGAAAGAGCGGCAACTACTTGCGCAAGAGGCGGAAAGGAAAGAGGCAGAGAAGAAGCAGACTAGTTTCGGTCGGCGACTATGGAAAAGGCTTAGTCGAGGCGGTGGTGAGAACGACGACCTGACATCCAAAGAACGAGAGGCCGCCAAGCAGAAGAGGAAGAAGTGGATATCCAAGTCAGGAGAAGACGTCGAAGATGGCATTCCGCCTGATGGGCATCGGGACTCTGCCCCTGCATCATGAGCGGCTGGACGCGAAGCGGGCTACAAAGCGGGCTGCTACTGTTCCTGCATGACCCCATACCTACCTCTGTGGCTTATTTTTACGTACCTACGATATCCCCATCGTCGATTGACCAAGTATTGCTAGCGAAATTGATGTTGTAGAATAAACACCTTCCCTAAGGACCGTAGATCTACCTTATTCGCGTGGTGTCATTGCTAGATCATCGTGATGGCGCGCGATCATTGCACTTGGATCGAAAACGTTAAATCCAGGAACCAGAAAACAGGTAATGTCTTGACTCGCTCGCTTTCCAAGCCTCCGGACCCCGTTCCGTGCCGCCATCATTCTTACGAACGGCGGCGACTGACATCATACGCGTCGTCACGGACCCAGATTTCCATCTTTCTTTTTTGGTTGCGAAATGTGTGTTGCTGTTGCAGCCTGTTATTCGAGCATGACTCGGCAGATTGCAAGATAGGGGTACCTGAGCTGAATTGATCGATCGTGCGTCTGCGCGGAATTGCTTGTGCAGCTGTGGCGCAAACAAAATTATGGGTACGACGGAGGTGTCTGGATCGAGGCCGCTACACAGGTAGTCCTCATCGAGAACACGTTGTGTGTATAGACGGACTTTTGGTGTCAATAAAATCCCCGGACGTTAGCTACCATGGTAATATAGAGTTCGCCTGCAGCCTATTAGCGGTGCGTGGTGTCACTCGCAGTTGGGAAGCGGCCAACGTCCCGACCGTTGCGCTGGAGCCCCGCCGTTCATCGTATCGAGACACGGCGTGGTGTGAGCTCTTCCAGCTCCAGCCAACATAGGAACGTCCGGACGTGATACTTTTCGGATGCTCTGTGCCGAATCCCGTCGTTCCTGATCCCCCAGCCGCGGTAACGCAGGGTCTCCTTTCTTTCCCATGCCATGTCGCGCTTCAAGCTCGTGGTGCTCACGATGGTGGTACCGAGGCTTGGTAGCGTGCAGCGATCGGCCGCCAAAAGGAAGCTATCGCTGTGCTAAGCGACGTTTGAGCAGGGGAGCTCCCGACGCCGTGACGTCAGTAGTTCGACAATATCATACGCGTCGCTGCAACCTGCTTGGACACACGGCACGACTTGCTCTTCCATCCTGCTGCATGCACCATTTTGATAGGAGGGGCATCATTCCCGCCAGGGATCTTGTACCCGATTCACAAGAAAGGCAGCCACAGCGCCGCCGATCGGGCCTGGACTCTGTGTGCTTTTGCTTCACCAGCTCGTCTCGTACTGCATATTGACTTGCTTCGGGGCATCTACAGCCCGGCATTGGCCTGGTAGAGATGAGGCCAGTCTGCCAAACCTCTCTTCCTGCATGCCATTGGTGTACTCTTGCAGTGACTAGAGCTGTCCAGTGCAAAGAGTACCATCGTCAATTTTCTTGGCTAAGGTGTTTCAGCTCCACTTCCTGGGGCAATTCAACTTCTACCCTGGCAGCAGTCCGCTCTCCGCGGTTCATCGACGATGCCAAACCATCCCGTTTCCAGCCACAGGCCGCTCCCACCCCTGCTGCAGCAGCTACCCGCTTTGTCTCACCACGCTGAGTGGAGGCCATTCAACAAGGATGTGCTGACGCCCCGCTCGAGGCTGGAGCTTGTGAGTAGTGTGACGCAATACTCCTCTCGTTCGTTGCACGCAGTATGGCGCCAAAGCAGGTTTACCATGCCTCTCCACAACTGAGGCGCAAGCTCTGGCTCAAGGAGGCCAGTATTCGACGTCATCCGTTCCAGCATGCTCACTGATGAGACGTGGTATCATAAATGCCTGCTTCTCTGTGATCCTTCCAACTTTTCTTTCCATACAAAGACGAACCATTCGTCAATTGATATATGACAGACAATTCATCCTCCCACAACTACTCCTACTACTCTTTCCCCCCAACACCTAATAGGAATTCCCCCCGTTCCACACGCTCTCAGTCTATATCAAGCAATAAGTCAGGAAGCAGCCATCACCGCGCTACTTCCTACAGCACATCATCATACACAATTCAAGGACACGATAACTCGTACAACGTCTCGAGCGTTCTATACAACAGCATGCCTTCCCCAGCAGCAGGAAAGGGTGACACCCCCCGCACCCCTACCAAGCTCGGACGCAAGCCGCAATCATCTGCCCCCAAGTTGAACAAGCCTCAGCAAGGCAAGTCGGAGGACGCCCCCACCCCCGATGTGCCCGAGCAAGCAGAGGATTTGAAGCAGCAAGGACAGGAGAAGGCCGAGGACGCAAAGAACCAAGCGCAAGACACCGCCGAAGACACCAAGCAGCAGGGTGAGGAAGCTGCCCAAGACACCAAGGGCAAGGCGGAAGAGGCTGCTGAGGACACTACCGGCAAGGTTTCACAAGCTGGTGATGAACTCGAGCAAGCCGACCCCAAGCCAATCGACGACGACAACGACGCCGATGAGGAAGATGACGACGACGCTACACACAAGGCTGGAGACGACGCGGAAGACACCGCCGAGGACACTGCCGACAACACAGAAGACGATGCAACAGAGACTGCCAGCAAGGCCGCTGACACCGGCAAGCAGGCAGGTGGCGGTGCGTTGAGCGGTGCTCGCGGTCTCGCTGGCCGCGCATCGAACCTCGCTGGTAAGGCTAAGCAGGACCCACAAGGAGCTGCTCAAGATGCCGGCAACGACGTTCAGGAGGGCGCCCAGGAGACAGCGGAAGATGCGCAGGAAACTGCGGAAGACACCGCTGAGGGCGCTCAAGACACCGCTGAGTCTGCCAAGGACACCGCAGAGTCCAAGGTTGGCGACGCAAAGGACACCGCTGAAGATGCCACTGAGGATGCTCAAGGCACCGCAGAGGACGCAACTGAAGACGCTCAGAGCAAGGCTCAGGATGCTACCGACGACGCCAAGGACGCCGCCGAGGACGCTACCCCCGACCTGAGCCTGCTCAAGGGCCTCGAAGTTGACGAGGATGGCATGA